AGAGGGAAGGACGAGGGGATTTTATAGAAATTTTTGGGTCCCATAGGAGCTATACGGACTGTCAGCAAAAAAACGTAAACAGCTCACCCCAGACGATTGCTTGCTGTTGAGTGTTCAAATTTTCGGTCTATCTACCACCGTTTGCAGCGCCGACGGAGAGTTTATGGGTTGCACAATCTCTTGGTGGAGTTCATCCGGCCTGAACGTGCAACCAAAAATGCTCATGTTCCTCCTGAATTTTCTCTCTCTCTCTCTTATTTCTCTCTGCCTGGAGCTTTATAAGCTCGGAATGCATTCTTACTATGTATAGTATCCTTCGAGGTTTCGTTGAGTACAGACTCAAAATGAGTATGAGCATCCTTTGATGACGGTTGAGTAGCCTCTAACCTGCCGGCGTCTCTCCTGTTGAGTGTACAAACGCGCAATGATGAGTCGAGCTGCCCCTGAGTAGCTTTGAGGGATAAGGATTATAGGGTAGACTTATGGGATGAGACGGCCGGGAATAGGAAGCCCTTGGCCAAGGACAATCCAAAAAAAAAAAATATATATATTATTAATATTGATGGAAAGTATCTATCCATATATTTGAGTCCGCTATGGCAAAATTTCCGTTGGCACCACAGTCGTCCACGTACGGTACCCCATAAGGATCTCGGAAAGGGTCATCGAGTATAAAAGCGACGGAGCAAATTCAAAGGGCGTGAGTAGCTCGGAGCTTAGTATGAAGTTCTGGGTGTAAATTGAGTTGTTGGTATGTGTAGTAGAGCAGGCGCTAGCTGTGAAGTGATGGAGTCGTGCCACTCATCCCTTGATGACCCATGTTTTATGTAGTATTTAGATGGATTTGCTTGTGTGTTTCTTGTTATTACACCAAAGCCCATTGTCGATGTCCGAACCAATCGGAACTCCCCTGTGCCCCCCCAGCCTGTTCGAGTCGACCATCAGCATAGTCATTGAGTGAGCAGCCGTGTCTGTTGGGAGTTGAGCTATCCGCTCGAATAAGCTGGAGCAGGCTATCGAATAACAATTTGCAGACCCCCAAGTTCTCCGGAATATCTAAAAAAAAACTGTTTAAAACTATCGACACGTTTGGTTCCCTGAATGGCTTGCACTAAAGAAAAATCTACATCATCCTCTGAAGACTGAAATACGTCGAACTCGTCGTCATTCCTGGGTCGAAGATGTTGGATGACATCTGGGTCGTCTTCTTGGACATGAACAAACGACGAAGTGAATTCTTGCATTACAACTTCTTTTTTTGGACATAGTCTAGTCGGGATACGCACTCCACACAAACTCGTTCAACCTTTGTTGATAAGTTGTGTGCTCCGGTTCAAGGGATCAACTAGAACACATTCATTCTAAACCTTCTTTTTCATCTATGAACGATGTGAATCTAGACAAACATGGAATTTCCCCCTTCCCCCAGGTACATATGTAGGTCGCCTCTTGCGACACATTGGCGACCGCTACATAATCCTTACCATCTGTGTAAGTTGTTATTTTAACTGTTCCTTATCGAGGTGTCAGGCCTCAGTGCTTCATATTTATCCCTCAATGTGTATGCTTTCCTACTTTTTCAAAGCCCACATTTGTGCATTGCAGTCATCTTGCCATGATTACAACCACCAGGTCTCCAGTCAGTTTAGCGAGCCAAATAAATCTGACTTGGGTTTAGGATCCATATATTAGTTTACATATCTGCTATTAGCTGATTCTGTTGGCTCTTTAAACCGAAGTTATGTTGTCGGAATCGGAAAGCACCATGTATTACGCTGCGTTAAGTTTCCTTACTCCAAATAAATCTCATCATCAGCAGTCACCAGTCGAGCAAACCTGGTCCGGAAAGCTCCCAATCAGTTATCAAAAGACAATGATTAGTCGGACAATCCTGGCCAAGGGGATGTTTCCGGGCAGCGTGTTCTCTCGGGACACCGCCACATATCAGAACACATTGGACTCACGACCAGGTTATGTTCCCCAGAAAATCACATTCATAGCCAAGATGAAAAAGCTCAAAAAGCTGCCTCAACATGCCGAATTTTTATCGATCATTGGAATTTAGTGCTCCAAGGGTCGTGTTGAAGCATGGCCATTCCAACAAATTTTTTCCCTGGTCAATTGTGAGATGCTCTCAGACTCTAGTAGAGATTACTTAGAACGTAGGGCTTTTTAGGGATTTCATTCTCAATAAAGTGCTTGAATTTCACCATCGAAAGAAAATAAAAGGGGTTTAACAGTGGGTTAAGACACAAAGGGGGGGGGGGGGAAGAAAAGGTGAAGTAGAAATTCATAAACTTCACACAGAAGACCTTGAGAGAGGGTATCAACGAGGTTGATCAAGGGCTCTAACGATCATACAACCTCTTCCAACGCGATTTTTTATCGGAAATAGAAGGGTCAGAGTACAGGGATTCACTAGGAGTTTGAGACCTTGAGGAAGCGTCTCGCCTGATGTTTAGAGGAAGGGTAGGAGGGATAGGGTAGAGGGAAACGGGTGGGGGAGGCAAAGGTCTGACGGGAGGAGGCTTAGGCTTGGGCAGAGTTGCGATGACTTCTTCCCTCTCCAAGGAACGCATCCTGAGAGCACTTTGGGGGACCCGGGCAGGTAGATGGCCTATCGAGGCATTTCCAAGGGCAAATGGATGAGGGGGCGCGTTGGATGAGTTGAGGGATTGCAACCTCCGCCTCCCCCGGGCCATAGATGTCAAAGGTCTGTCGACAGGATCAGCAGGGACAGGCTTGCTGGGAATCTTGCCAGCGGGCCAGTCGAAGGAGTAGATATCGTTCCAGTGTTTCTCTAGAGCCTCTCTTCGGGCCCGATGAGCCAACGTGGACTGTGGGACATATTCGTCATCGATCCGGGATGGTCCGGCGTCCTGGCCGAGTGGGAGCTCAGATGGGGTCCCCCAGGATTCATCCGAATCCGAGTCGCTCGCTGGCTTCTTGTTTTTGAATTGCTTGCCGATCCATTTGACTGCTCTGAGCGAGCCGTTGCTCAATCGACGGCCGAGCGCCGGGAGCGATCCCGTCGACGCGCTCCGCTTGTGACGTATGTTCGAATTGTCGTGGCCCATCTTCGTTGGTCTCTTGTGATCTGTTCTTGTATGAGGGGGACGGGGAGGGACGGGTTCAAGGGAAGTGCAAGGTGCGGTTTGGGGAGATTCGAGTCTTTGTAGGAGAAAGCTTTAGCAGGAAATTTGTTTTGGGAAGAATCAAGCGCAACGGATGTTGGAGTAGGAGGGTAGTGCGACTGACGATACCTTGCATGGCCATACCGGAGAGCATCTTAAGTAGTGCGCAAACGTAGCAAAAAAAAACTCATGCCGAGCCAGCATGCATTCCAAACTACTTTTCTTGAGACTCTTTTCTCTCCGAGCTTTTGAGCATTAGTTTTCGAGGCTCTCAAAGAAAGCATCGTCCAAAAAAGCAAACGCGTGCAAAATGCACTTCCGAGCCGACTGAAAAAATGCACCCGTCGATGACGACGAAGAATGCAGTTGCGCTCGAGGAATCAACCGGCAAAAAAAAAATATGTTTTTCTTCCTCTTCTCGCGGGAAATACCAGAGTATATAGGGCTTGATGAATTCTTGGCTTTTTCTTCAGTGGAAATGATCCTCTGTAGCGCTTGCCCAGCTACACCCGACTGTCATGGACTTCAATGGTGGTTAACTTTGGCCTTCCGGCCGGGATAATAATAACTCCATGACACGGCATGGAGCCGAGACGCGTTTGCTCGCAGTGCGTGCAAGTGGGCAGCATTTGAAATAATCCAAGTACCTGGTTTCCTTTCCTCAGAGCGGCTTTGGGACAGAAGATCAAGGTACTGAGCCTTACAACATCACCAGCTGCTGATTTCCAGGAGTTTTTCTCTTTCATCTAGGCTGACAAGCAGACCAACAGATTGACAGATAGAGACAGCACCAAGTTACTCAGCCCCTGGTGCTTAAACCCTTCCTTCAATTTACAGATCACAAGAGAGTCCAGAAGATCAATTGTAGGAATAAACTCAACAGGTGATGGATCCCCATGATGAGATTTTATACTGCTCAAGATGCAACGATACTTTAGTCTCCACCAAGATGAACCGGAAAGGTTCTTCTACATAGTATTAGAGGGGGGGGGGCAGGATTGATGGAGTGTTGCTCCGCAGATCTGCTTCTAAAAATTTACCGTCTTCTGCTAGTCTTTATTCTTTAACCTCTGAAACTCCTAATGTCTCATAGTGCAATTAGATGCACCAACAATCTGTGTTTTATGCCAGCTTGATTAAGATGTTTTTGAGACGTAGAAGAAGCTGGATATCTTAATTTATGAGTTCCAGTCTACCACACTTCACGTAGTCATTAATCAGCAAGTCGGGTTGGTGGTTGCGGCTGACTGCCAATCCGCAAGAATCCTTTGACTCAGCAAATCCTCATCAACCCAGCCTGAGTCTTTTCACTTTTTTTGCTCTTCTCAGAGTCTTCAAAAGATCAGTGTTTTGGTCTGTTTGTTGGATTCATAAGAAATTAAAACACTTGCATCATCCTCTGCTGTTGCTTGGCGTTTTTTTTTCTTCTGTAATCCGATGAAAGTAAAGATCTGAAGCGTTGTGAATAGATCATGATACCAAGCCAGGTTTCAGAGGATTCTGGTGATGTTACCTCGTCCTCGAGATACGCCATAAACTGAGGAGGCCGGAGTGGATTGTGTTTTCATTTGGCACGCTTGAGCGAAGGCTAAGGTGCTCTTACACTGACTCACGAGTAAGAGTTCTGGGATGTTGAAGGATAGATGTTTGAACTGAGTGTGGGTTTCAGGCATGGATGATGATGAAAGGCGTCTGATCGGCCTGGGTTGATTTTGGGACTGCTTATGTAACGCAAACCTTAATAAGCCAACTCAGCTCAAACACTCCCATCCGACTTCTTCACCAACCCAGCGCAACCATCGACCAACAACCACACCCAACTCACTACATAGTAGAACCCGATCACAGTGTCCATAGCATGAAAACAACTACCACCCTCAACTAAAATCAACTCACCAACCGAACGTACAATCACAAGACAGACAGACATCAGATTGATACTAGGCGAATTGGAAATCAGAAAGAGTCATCTCATGGTTATCTAGTCCTTCAACTCACACTCAAAGGAAATACGAAAAGCCGACCTCAAAAAAAAGCCCCATTTCAAATCCGGCCCTCGTTCTACATCGCACTCTTTTTTTGCCAGCAAACATATTTAAATACTTCCTCCACCAAGAAACAGCCGAAGGATTTGGTCACGACACTCATTGGTTCTTCCATCCATCCTCCTCCAATCCGACATCCTTCTTCCCTCCTCATACTCCGCCTATTCTCGCTCTTCTTTTTCGATCGACCGGGGGTTTTTTTTTTCAAAGGTTCATGCGCTTCGTGAATGTGGAAGGAATAGAAATCAAATCAAGATAGCTTGCTCTTCTCCCAAGAAAAAATAATAATAAATAATTTCTACAACAGAGGTCATGTCGGGAAATATTAAGGTGATCGTCCATTTTCAATATATAAACACTTTCTCAAACAAAAGCAGGGATTCAGAAACTGATAGAGCTCTGGTACAAAAAATCTAGGTTGTGGTAAGATGTCGGCCACTGAACTCGAGAGAGATAGCGAGAGGGGCGAAATGCTTGATCAGGATGGAAGCAGGCACGCACACGTTCCTAGACCCCCCACCGACCGAGAACGAGGCAGGCGCTGGAGACCAAAAATCAAAATCGAAATCATCAGCTACCGATAAAGAGACCAAAAGTTTCGCTTTCGATCACAGTTATTGGTCCGCCTGTCCGAAGGATGAGCCTGGCTACGCTTCGCAACAGACCCTATACGAAGACCTCGGTGTCGACCTACTCAATAATAGCTTCGAGGGTTATAACTCTTGTATCTTTGCTTGTCGGTCTTTCTCATCCTCTGCCTCTTCTCATCTTGATGGTGACTGATCCTTCTCTCTTCTTGATTTATAAAGATGGCCAAACTGGTTCCGGAAAGTCATATTCAATGATGGGCTATGGTCAAGATCGTGGAATCATCCCATTGACCTGTTCAGCTCTATTTGACCGGATACAAGAAAAGAAGGTGACTGACCCAGCGGTATGCTATACGGTCGAAGTTTCGTTTATGGAAGTAAGTTTCGACGATCTTGGATACTGAGGATTTGATTCAAAAATTCATACTGATTGACAATCCTACGGAATTATTTAGATTTATAATGAGCGTGTTCGGGATCTACTGAATCCGAAGAACAAGGGTAATCTTAGAGTCCGAGAGCATCCCAGCTTAGGTCCTTACGTTGAAGACCTCTCGAAGCTGGCAGTCCAATCCTACAGCGATGTCGAAACTCTGATGGATGAGGGGAATAAAGCCCGAACGGTGGCGGCAACAAACATGAACGAAACTTCCTCCCGTTCTCATTCGGTCTTCACACTCCTGCTAACTCAGCGACGAAAAGATGCGACAACAGGTATGGAGGGCGAGAAGGTCTCAAGAATCAGTCTGGTCGATCTGGCTGGCTCGGAGCGTGCTAATAGTACGGGTGCTACCGGTGTTAGACTCAAGGAAGGTGCTCAGATCAACAAATCGCTTACCACGCTGGGAAAGGTTATCTCAGCCCTGGCTACTGCTGGTTCATCCGGCCCTGGAAAAAAGAAGAAAGCCGACGACCATGTTCCCTATCGAGATTCAGTATTGACCTGGCTGTTGAAAGATAGTCTCGGTGGTAACTCGAAAACTGCTATGATTGCTGCCATCAGTCCGGCCGATTACGAAGAAACTCTTTCGACCTTACGATATGCCGACCAGGCCAAGAAGATCAAGAACAAGGCAGTTGTGAACGAGGACCCTAATGCTAAATTGATACGAGAACTGAAAGAAGAACTGGACACTTTGCGCTCTCGGATGAGTGGAGGTCATAGCGAAGATACTTATGATGTTACTCTGCCGCCCGAAAAACAGATCGTTAAATATCAAACCAAGAGCGGAGAGATCAAAACGGTAACCAAGGCCGCCCTTCAAGAGCAATTGGAGCAATCGGAGAAACTAATGAGCGAAGTTGCTCAGACCTGGGAAGAGAAATTGAAAAACACTGAAGTGGTACAGAAAGAGCGAGAGCAAGCATTGGAAGAACTTGGTATCACCATCGAGAAGAACAACGTCGGTGTCTATACACCCAAGAGGATGCCCCATCTTGTCAATCTCAACGAGGATCCCTTAATGTCTGAATGTCTCATCTACCAAATCAAGCCTGGGACCACCACTGTCGGGAATACCGAAACTACTGAGCCATGCGACATTCGACTTAGTGGTCGTAATATCCTTGCTCAACACTGCCACTTCGAATCTGACAAGGAGACGGGTGCGGTCGAACTGTTTTCTCATCCGAACGCGCCCACCATGGTTAACGGACAACGCCTGAGCCCGGGCAAACCAAGGAAACTTCGATCAGGTTATCGAGTGATCTTGGGAGACTATCACATCTTCCGTTTCAATCACCCAGAGGAAGTCCGTAAACACCGAGAGAAGGTGAATACAACTAGTGAGCCTGGGGCTGAACTTCGATCGCCTCTGACCAATGATCACAACGGCTCAGCTTCGCCCCTTCATCGACCCGATACCCCAACTTCTAGCTCCGTCATCGACCCACAAGACTATCATTACGCTCGGAGAGAAGCAGTGATCTCAAAGCTGAATGGCACCGAAGTCAATCTTGATGAAATGGATGAGGCCGAATTCGAAAAATTATTTGATGATGTGGTCAGGCTACGTATGCAAAGAAAAGTTGGCACTAGCGTGAGCGGTCGAGAGAGTAGGATGTCATACATTAGCGAAGAGGAAGATATTTTATCTGCTTCCCATCGACCGCCTTCCGGTAGCACGTTCGTTACAGACGATACGAGTGTTGCTGGGTCGATTTTCAATGATTTGGAGCTCACGATCCCTGAGGAAGGGAATCAATTGAAACGCAGTCCCAGTGATCTTGCATCAAATGGAGCGATCGAAACTGAACACCTGAGGCTAGAGAAGGAGCAAGTTGAAAATCAAATGAAAGAACTGAAAGA